GGAACGCTGGATAGGTTTTATGCACAGGCGACGGTAATTCCACTTCACCAGTACTTTATTTGGACAGATCCGGACCGTTGGTGCATTTTCTTCTAAACTGTTCCGCTTCTTCCTCGGGGTCTGCTCCAGTCAGCTCTGGACGTTGCGTGACAAAGCCTGTTTCGGGCGGCCCAGGGTTTTCTAAAAGGCCAGCTCTAAACGGCTCCGAATTCGCTACAGACCCTGTTTCGAACTGCCTACCACCTTCTGTGGAACCTGCTCTGAACGGCATTGTATTCGTAACAGAGCCTGCTCCGTGCGGCTCAAATTGAATTTCAACGCATTCGAAATTCATCATAATCTTCTTCATTCATAGACCGTGGATCGGCCTTCTCTTGAATTCTGAATTGATTATCTCTAAACACGCATTCATAATTTCCCTCGTTAGGCATGGAGGCGATTACTTCAGCAACGGATCATCTTCGAATAGTAGAAAATTGCATATACAGCTGTAACTTCCGCTGCGAATGGGTCTTTCTCCGTCTCCACTTCTTGAACCTCATCGCCATCCCAAAACAACAGCTTTTGGTGCAAAGTTGACGGTACACACCCGCAAGCGTGAATCCAATCTCGCCCCAATAATGCCGCATACGAAGGGCGACTGTCTATTATTACGAACACTGAGGAAAACTTCTTGGTGCCTACTTGTACCTCCACATTAGTGATTCACGCCGGTTTATACGAATTTTCCATAAAATCCGTAGCTTGCACCGAAGTTGGTATTAAATCATCCCTTGTCTTTCCTAACTTTCTGAACGTCCAAAATGGCATTACATTGGCAAATGCGCCGCCGTCTATCAATACTCTGCCCACTGGTCGTCCTTCCATTAAAGCTTGAATGTACAGGGGTTTTACGTATTTATGCTGCCCGGACCCGATTCGATCAAAAGTGACCGTTGTCACTATATCGTTCCATTCTGCCGCTGGTTCTTCATCTACGGTCACTCCCTCATAACTCTGCTCCCCTTCTGGAGCTTTGAATTCAGAAGGCAATACCCCCACGACCGATAGCTGACCACCTTCAGCATTACACTCCTTCGATTGTGTAGTTTTCGGCACCCATCGGCGTTGCTAGTTTGGAATTGGTCCGGCTTTTGGAGTAGAGAAAATTAGGCGAGGTTGTAACTTTTGGTTTCCCTGAGGTCTCTCCTTCTGCTCACGGGTTTCCGAGGCTTTTTCGCCTTGACTTGTTGCTTGCTGAATTTCCGATTCAATTCTCTTGCCTTTAGACCCTGCGCTTTTCTGGTTTGGTTGAACACATTCAGCTTCCAACTTAGCCTGTAACCGTCTCCTTTGTGCTCTTCTTTTTTGGGAACGTGTCAGGTCACCCATTGCCCTCCTGGCATTTGTCTCCGGCACATTAACAGTCCATTTCTCCGAATCTACGGCTGACAGAGGTTTCCGTGTCTTTCTTGGAGTAATAGTAATCTGATCGGCTGTAATGGTCCAGACGCGTTTCCCACTAGCAACTTTCACTTCAGCCACCATAGCATCCGGCTTAATAGGGGAGCCTGGAGTTGTGGCTTTATTTAATCATAGCATGACGCTCCCGAACTTCCTGGGCATTCGGAATTGTCACTTTCAGGTTAGGGCTCCTTTCTACGACCCTAGGCTCCTTATTTCCAACATTTCCATTGGGCGTCTTTCTTACAGACAACCTATCGAATACTGAACCCCGTTGTGGTATCCTAGGCCCAAGTCGCTCATGAACCGGTTGTCGAACCAGTTGTTTCCCTTTGTTCTGTCTCTTGAGACCTCTTGTAGACATAGTATTAATGGATGGTGCAGGAAACGGATTCGCATCCACCTGCATACTCTTTTCTGCTAGCTTCAGTCTACCCTCGTCTAAAGCCTTCTGAATCGTGTTTCGTAGGTACGCACAATTGGCGGTAGCATGTGTATAACTCCCATGCCACTTGCAATACACTTTCCCTTTCAATTCCTCTGGTGACGGCACTCGCTGCCCGTCTCGGAGTTTGATTTGTTTGTCCTTCAGCAGATGATCAAAAATCTGTTCTACCTTAGACACATCAAAGGTATACTGCATGCCTCCGACCTCTTTACCTCTTGTAGGTTTTAATGCTGAACAAGAGTAAGTTTTTCCTTTCAACAGTTCAGCCGCTAGCACATCTTGTTCCTCACCACAGCCTTCGTCGGTTGAACTTTCCTCATCGGCACAGTAAGTTATTCCTGCTTTTCCATCTTTTTTCCACCTACCTACAGTAGCATCCTGTCTTTCTCGAATGAGCTTTTCTGCCCTCATTGCAAGTGCACTTAAATGCGAAAAATCCTGGAAATCCTGAACTCCCAACCGGTCTCGAAGATCTGATCGCATATTATCCACTGCCATCGCGGTTGCCTGCTGTTCAGGTATCTGCACTGTGCACCGAGTCTTAGCTTGTCGAAATCTCTCTAAAAATTGTACCACAAGCTCATCATATCCCTGTTTTACAGCTACCAGATGGGATATTGTAGTTTCCACCTGTGGCGCATAAAAACGGTCGTGAAACAACCTCTCCAGATCCGACCAAGACTGCACAGTACCTGGAGCTAACGATGTATACCACGAAAATGCCGTACCCGTCAGAGACAAAGAAAACAATTGTAAACGATACCAATCATTTCCTCCCAAATCTCCGCACTGAGCTGTAAACTTCCCGATATGCTCTATCGTTGATCTCCCATCTTCGCCTGAGAACAGTGAAAAATCCGGTGCTTTATTTCAAACGGGCAACGGCATCATCTCACTTACCCAAGTTGGGTAGGGTCTTTGATACATCGGTCGCTCTTCGAATTTCATTCGCGGGAAAGCTCTTTGGATACTTTCCACTAGAATATTTGTATCTATTAATGGTCGGGCTTCCTGCTGATTAGGAATCAGCGGTTGCCCTCCTGGTCCCCAAGCTTGACCAACCATTCCTCCTTGAGGGACAACAGCATAAGGAGCCTGCTGCGCCCACGGCGGTGGAGATGCGTTCCAAGCAGGCTGTCCTGCGACCTGCCCTGGCAACGCTGTTCCTGGAGGGGCTCCGTAGACGCCGCTTCCTGCGACATCTTGTCCTCCCACCATTTGAGGGCCACAGCCTCCGCTGGGTTGCCCTCCTTGCGGGCGTTGGAGAATCGTCACATTACCGAATTGCAATCCTGCTCCACCCGTCGGTCCCCTAGGCGATCCAGTGTTTCCCCAAACCAAGTTAGAACCGACGTTTCCTGTGAGAGGTGGAATCCCTCCAGCAAATGGAGTTACCCCTCTCGGTCCTCCATGTGTGTTTCCTAAAATTCCAGAATTCTGGATTCCACTAGCCACTGCTCGGCGTTCTTCTTCGCGAATCTGAAACGCTTCATTCCTTACAGTTGGTCGGATCACATCAGCCAATTGCCTGAAAATTTCATACGCGATGTCTCCGATTCTGGCCTGAATACACTGATTCACTTCTCTGCGCACCATGGTCACTATCGTCTCGGTCGACGTAGATTCCTCATCTCTCCTCAGCCCTGGGATGCGGCTTCCACTGGGATGAACCGACGTTCCAGTTCCAGTAAATCCTGCACCCTGATTCTGATTGTCCATGGCGATCGCTTTACCGCTGCGAAGTTGCATACACGAATACGAACCTGACTTGGTCCCACTGGGCGTGCCAATTGTTGGATCCTGCGATTCGGAATTCCAAAATAGCTCGTCAATTTCGTCGGCGTTGGTTCCGGAAGTACTCCAGAGAGCCAATCCGTCGTCGGGCAATGCGAATTTCACACGATTACTGAACTAAACTACGATTAACTACGGAAAGCGAGTAAATAAATTGCAGAAAGCATTTAATCGGAATTAAATTGCGTAAACAAAAATAAAACAAGGAAGAAAAATATAAAAAGATGCGATTTGTTCTGTTGTGCGTGTGTGTTGTGTTTCTTTTTCCTACTTGTAATCCTAAGTTAGAATAACCACTTCTCCCACTAACAGAGGTGGTTACAAATTATTCTTACTTCTTTCTATCTCTCTTAACCACCAAGTAACCTCCTTCCATCAGTTCCCAGCGGCTTCCATTGCCTCTGGACCGAGTTCCATTCGTCTTGAGCATCTTCCATCATTCATGGACCAAGTTCCATTCGCTTTAGATATCTTCCATTGCCTTCAGATCATACCTGCAGCCTACCCTGATTCGTTTCCATCATACTCCCAGCCGGTCTACGGGTATATGTTCCCGACAACCTTGAGTTACATAGAACCCTCACTCTTCATGGTCTTCCATTAGTGTCATGAGGTTGCCGATTCAGAGTTGATGGAGCTTGTCGTCCGAAGGTCTATAGAAGTCATATCTTCTTGCTCCATGGAAGCTCCGCAATCTAATGGAAGTCACTATCTTTGACATTTAAGTCATTTTTTACTTGGGGTCCAACAAATTCCCGTAGTCTTGTGAATATAATATTAGTTTCCCTTGCATTTCACACAACCACATGGCAGCCAATAAACTCTAAAAGATAAAAATTGCATAATGCTCTCTTATCCTTTAAAAAATATTGCATGAAATTCTTCTTTGATTTCAAAACTCAACATAAATCCTTATTTTACTTTAAAAAATTGCATAAAACCCTTTATACTTTCAAAATTATTACATGAAACTCTCTGACATACAAAATATATAAATTAAAAATCAACTTCTCATTACTAACATTTTTGACAGTATAAGAGAATTTCATGCAAATTTTAAAGTACAAGAAGATTTTACGCTAAATTTTGAAACAAAACGGGTGATTTTAACTAAACTAAGTTGAGACAATTCATAATAATAATACTAACAATAATAATGGAGAGAGTAGGAGCAGTTGAGCAGCGGCAGATTTCTCACCGAATTGCACAACCAATCAATGAATAATAGATGATAAAATCCAAGCCCACAACAAAGCAGCAGCAGCAGCAGCTAAATTCACACACACCAAATTAGACGTGAGGTAGGGTCTAGGGATATCAAACTTGGATCAATTTCACAAACACCTCCAAATCATGTACACAACAAACAAACTAACAAACACCACCCACATTATACATCATCACATAAAATTCTTCATTATTTATAACATCTCTGCTACTGAACTTGGCACTCCTTCAACCCACATTTACCTAAAACCATAAGGGCATGCACCATTTCTTGCACATAATCGAATACCAATTCTAGAAATCAACGTCCATAACAACACATCTCAATCACATAAAGGGAGGGAGGGATCTGGAGCGCACACCTATTCGTTGTCCAATCCACTCGAGCTGGCTACGTCCACTTTCTTATTCGCAGCCGACTCTGCTTGCTTATACGCCTTGGCCAATTCATCTACAGGGATCAAAGGGGCATAGCTGAACAGGGTATAGCCTTTCCCCGACAGATTGTTCACTAATTTGTTGTACTTCTCGGACCATTGCGCTGCGGTGGTAATGGCCACCTTAGACACCCCATTTAACGATGGATTCTGATTGACTTGGTACAATACCACAGCCAACTGATTCACCACGAAATGCTGTGACATTTTACCAGCATGGGATATTGCGGCGAGGGGACCGGAAACCTTGGCTTCCTCTAACAAGTCTTGGCCGGTTTGCGACGCCTTCATCATAAGTAGTTGAACCTTGGAAAGGGCTTTCTTGGCTGACGGAGGAGCCATTTCATCGAACTTGATGGCAGCATCATTCACCTATTAGGATACACATTAAGCTATGTGAGGGCAACAAACCATTTGCTTGAGCTTGAGTTAGAGCTGTAAAAGTCAAGTTAGAACTTTAAATTGAGCCTAACAAGTGAAGCATGTATTGATGGCATGTTCAAATCAAGCTCGCTCGACTCGTTTGTAAGGTAAACAATCAGTTTAACTTTAACAAAAGTCGAAATTATCAGAAAAAAAAAAAAAAAAAAAAAAAAAAAAAAAAAACAGTTATATGTAGCAGGCACAATTTGAAGGAACTTCAGAACACATTGGAGTAGGGAAAACACAAGAACAGAAACACCATTTTCTCATCCACTAATTTTCACTTTAAAAAATTCAAATCCAAATCATTCCAGGAATCATAACTGTGCTCCAGAAAATGGATTCACACATAGAAAGTAGTATTAAAGTGATCAAATGGCTGTCACGCTTTTCTCAAACACCGTGATAGAAAAAGGTAACCTATGTGCAAAATTATAGACTGATTCCTGTAGATCAATCAGATTGCTGTGATCAGCAGATAAGAACAGCTAATCATTGTATTTAGTAAATTAAGCGTTCTAAAAATCAAATGGATCAGCTAGTTACCTTTCCGTCGACGAACACAAGCAGATCACTAGGAATCCCCTTCACTCTCTCGTAAACGGGGACAAAAACAGTCGCGACGGCGTTCTCCACCGCGTCTACGGCGGGTTTGAGCGAACCGGAATTCTGCTTCGCCTTATCGTATAGATTCGACACCAAAACAACGGCGTTCACCGCCAGAATCTGCACGAACCCTAAATACTTCAATTGCTGGTCGCTCCTCTCCTCGATCGCAACCTAACACAGACAAAAACCAAAATTTAAAAATAAAAAAAAAATCATAATTACAATGAATTGACCGATAAATCACAAACGAAAGATCAAACAGCCGCAGACTACATAAATCTAAAACCGACAGGGAAGTAGCAGGGACAGTACCTCCGACGACGACATCGCTTCCTTTGAGAAAAAAAAAAAAAAACTCCCTTGGTTTTCTCGGAGCTCTCTGTCTCAGTCTCTCTCTCTTCTGGTGATGGTGTTGGAGTGAGGTGTGTGTATACATACATACATGTACCTATACAGGGAGTTCCATCGTCGGGCACGCTAATCAAAGCGGGCAGTGCCCAGAAAGATGGACGGTGAATAGAGTGACACGTGGCGCGCTGTTCTAGATCTTTCCAGACGCCTCCCACGACTTCGGCTTCCTTCTTTCTATCAACACTCCACTGGAAGAATTATTGCCGAGTATTTGAGCTTATTTCACAACTATCTTCGGTTTCGTATAATTTGTATTTAATTTTTTATTTTTTTCTCTTCAATATAATTTATTTTTTTTTAAATAATTAATTATATATTTTAATCATATTTTAAAATTCAAAATTATTTTAATCTTAATCAGTAATTTTTTCTTTCAACCCATACATGCACACACTCCCAATCTTCAAGCGAGGATGTCTTACCGCTTGATCTACAAGGGTTTGACGTAGATACTATATAGAGTTTGTGTATATATTTTAATCATATTTTAAAATTAAAAATTATTTTAATCTTAATCAATAATTTTTTCTTTCAACCCATACATGCACACACTCTTAATCCTCAAGCGAGGGATGTCTTACCACTTGATCTACAAGAGTTTGACGTAGATACTATATAGAGTTTGTGTCGTGGGGTTTCAATATTTTGTCTTTTTTTAAATTTTTATAGTTGGACCCACTTAAAAATAATGAATAATACATTAAGCTTAATTTTTTTAGACAAAATTGTTTATAATTTTTTTATAATTTTGAAATTCAACATAATTTTTTTTTTACTTTAAAATAGTATGATGTCGCATTTTACTTTAAAATATATTGCATAAAATTCTTTTGTGATTTTGAAATTCAAAATAAATCTCTATTTTACGTTAGAAATTGCATGAAAATTCATTGTACTTTAAAAAATATTGCATGAAACTCCTAGTATACAAATTATATAGATAGAAAATTATATTCTCATCACATAAGAAAAATTTTATTTTGGTGGAGTTTCATGCAATATCTTTTAAAGTATAAAAGACACCATTTAATTTTTAAAATATAGGAAGATTTTACACTTAATTTCGAAATCACGTGAAACTTACAAGCAATTTTACCTTTCTTATTTTAATTAGCAGCTTGATTTTTTTATTTTTTTTGAAAATTTTTTTTATGTGGAACCTAAAATTTAATACTCCGTCGTTCTCATAACTAACTATTCATTTTACTATTTTAGTTCGTATCAAAACAAAATATCCATTTATTTTTTACCAAAACATCTACCTACTATTAAAAATACCCTTAAATTAATACTATATTACCAAAATGTCATTCCAAATTTAAAACCAAATTACAAAATAATAATAAAAAAAAACAACATAATTACTACTAATACTAATCAAAACAATTCATTTAATTTATCTTACCATTATCTAAAATATCCCCAACTATTTCCACCACACGATTTAGAGTTTTTTCATACATTCTCTTTGACCATCGAACCGTGAATTGCTTTTTCTTCCTCTCATTCGTCATCTCCGACTACCCCACCGACGATGTCAGTTGCCCCTAAGTCTCCGGCGCCCGTCGAATGATGTTTTCCTTTAGAGAGGGCTTTATCTCTCTCAAATCATGGTTTGAGCTTGTTAGAGAGCGAATCGTCGGCCATTTTTTATGCCATTCCCCCTTGTTTCGCTCCCAATTCCAAGGAGGAGCAGGAACCGGAGAACAAGCTGCCTTCCACGGCTTTTCGTACTCGCCGATCTTTGTTTCGATGTCCCTGCACTACCCATCGCGGAATAGTAGCAGCTCGTCGGAGTTGCTCTTCCACTCGTGAAATTGTGTTGAATTTTCTAAAAATATATTGTCCTCTCGCCATCAACGAACCGGCGACCCATGACGGAGGTAAAATTTTGGATTCCTAAACTTTACTCCTTCAAAGTTTATTTTTTTGCATGAGTGAGAAATTTTTTGAAAAAGTTATGATTTTGCAGTTTGTCTAAATTTTGAACACATTACTAATGTTGGTATTCTATTATCTATTTTTTAGGTACCCTCACTAATCCTTTCGACTAGTGATTGAGAGTTCCTCTGTGATACCCCCTTGGAGTTGGACATTAGGTCATCCGAAGTTGATTAGAGGTTAAATTGATTGAATAGACTATTCGTGTTAACAATGTGCACATTCTTTATAGGGAACCCTACTAAAAAAACTCTAGAGTTAAGCGTGCTTGCCCTAGAATAATTTGAGTATAGTGACGATGGGTGACCTGTGGGAAGTTTCCCAAAGTGCGCATGAGTGAGGACAGAAGCCCACTTGAAGGACTCGTGTTGACTTATAGGGCCAGTCTATAATCCTGACACGTCTGGTTTGCATGGCTTGCGGGCTGCGACAGTCCGCAGTCATTGACCGGACTGTTGACGGGCTTAGCAGTTAAGGGATCCTTAGGGTGCAACGTAAACGTTGCATTCTAAAGTGGGGGAGGATGTGATACCCATCGGAATTGGACCGTTACTTGGCCAACTCCCGTGTGTGAATGAATTGGTATTAGACCATTTGAAGTTGATTAAATGTTAAATAGATTGAATAGACTACTCATGTTAACAATGTGCACATTCTTTGCTGGAGAGCCCTACTGAAAAATTTTTAGAGTTAAGCGTGCTTACCTTAGAGTAATTTGATAGTTGGGTTGACAGTGAATTTCTGTCATTAGGGTTGTGCGTGTGGCAACTACCTATTGATAGTTGGAATAAACTTTTGAGATGATGATATGTTTCCTCTCCAATAGATCTAAATCGCTCACATAAATGCGAGATTTAAAGACTTATACTAAGTATAATGTCATCATTCACATTACGTAGGCGTTGTCCCTTGCTGAATTCACTAAATTAAATAGAAATTTATTGAATTCTAACACTCGGTGATCTTTGTAATGTGAGAGTGTTTTCCCATGTCTCATGCCCTATAGTCAATGATGATAATATAATCTGAGAGCCAAGAGTCTCAATTCTACGAAACTTGATCCTCAATAAATGTCTCACAATGTAGAATTGTCCCACACTCGGTGATGGTAATATAATCTGAGAGTGATTGCCCCTAAGACTGTTTCACAAGAGTCTATGTTTAGTTGTTACCAAACTCTTTTACAAAATAATGCCACTTACATACATTTAATGAGGTTTCACTATTAATTACAAAATGTGAAACTTGTACAGAATAAACATCTTGTTTCGCCATTTAGATCATTTCTTCAACATAGGTAATCAGATCTTCTAAACCCCGAGTCTCATTTGCTTCAACCAAGGTCAATAGTTGACTTGATCAACTCTCTATCAATCTCTAAGCTTATAGGTAAGCTATTAGTTCTTGTCATGACAGTTTTACCAATGTGTGGAAATTTGTAGTTATTTCTACCATTGCATGCCATGATTTCCCTTAAACATGCCTGCGAACTTAAGAAAACATTATTCAATGTTGTGTTGGTCAGTTCTTTAAAGAAATTTGTAACAGCAACTATCAATTCATCCACAGTAGTCGCTGTTGTTGAATTTTTAACGATTGTATTGCTCTAAACCAACCAAAGTCGTTTATGTTTGTATCGGGGTTGTTCCAGGGCTAGAAAAATAAGATGGATATCAAAGCTATCGGTACTTGCAGCTCTTCTAAATTCCGGATCATTGCCATCAATGTGTGGTTTAGCATTGTCTTCCTGTATGAAAATCCTTCTACTTGTTGTTTTCAACTACTTGGCTTTCAAACTTGGAAGTACCTACAAATTTGCAATGTAACTTGCCTAATCAAAATGATCAATACAATTACCATATAAATATGCATACTTGATTGATAATGACAGCCTTCGTGACATTCTTGGTGATTAACTCCAAAGGCTTTGTCTTCAATGTACCTGCTGGTCGATTTTTTAAATTTTTTCTTTGCTGGAACTTGATGGGTAAAAGGAAAATTTCTTATTTTCTCATCAAATAAATATTGTCCCTCTTCCCTATAAACGGGTCTACTCACAGCACATAAGAACATTACTTTTGTAATGAACCTTTTGTTTTGACATGTTCTGTAAGGTTTTGTTTCATTTGATGTGAAGTAGTACCTTTCAGCATGACGTGTCATGTAAAACTATTTTTCATTTTTAATATTATACTAAAAATCAATTTTACATTCAAAATATCACATCAACACCTATTTATATCATTATCATACAACTATTCAAATTCAATTTTTTTACTATTCAAATCCCAACTCAAAATCCAAAACCCCAAACAAACACACCCTTAATTTATTATACACCTATTACCAACCACCCCCCTCCCTTGATCTCCCCTCTAGATCGATCTAGGGTTTTCAAAATCTTCTCATTCCTTACGCAGTCGCCTCATTTGCTCCCTTATCGTCGTTCTTTATATTTTTCGGCAAGTTATATCGACGATGTCGCTTGCCTCTCGGTCTCGGGCGCCGGCTGAAGGGCGTTTCCCCTTACAGAGGATTGGACGTCCCTCAAATTGTGTTTTGAGTTCCATGATTTCGAATTCGATGTCTTTCTCGATTCGCTGCTCGATTCAGACAAAATCGTCGAAGAGGTGGCAAGATCTACACCGTCGGCCATCGTTTCAGCCGTTCCGCTTGGTTTCATTCCGGATTCAAAACTGGAGCAGGAATCGGAGAACGAGCTCCGTTTTGCAGTTTTCCATCGACCCCAAATACTGTTCCAGCATTCTTCGAGCTGCTCGTCGACTCGTGAGATTGAGCTATTTTTTCTTTTACATTTCTCAACTGAATTCTCTATTTTACCAAGAGAATTAATTCTCATTTTCTACTCAATTCTATTTGTCTTTAGTTTCATTATCTACTCTCATTTCTCGTGCAATTTCATTCTCTCTACCAAAGCCACCTAAGATAATATTAAAATATCATTTAAATTAAAATTTTAAATTCAAATCAAAATTAAAATGAATGAACATATTTCTTTTATGAAGATAAAAGTATAATTTTTAATATATATTTATATATATGTAATATACAAAGATAAATATTGCAATATAT